CCCTCTCTCCCATCCCTCTTCCTCCCTCTCCCCCATCATTTTCCTCTCTCTCTTCTCTTCCTTCATCTTCTCTCTCCCATCCACGTCCTCTCTCTCCTTTCTCCCATCCCTCTCCTCTTCTCTCTCCCATCATTTGCTCTCTCTCCTTTCTCCCATCCCTCTCCCCCCCTCTCCCCATCCTTTTCCTCTCTCTCATCTCTTCCATCCCTCTTCCTCTCTCTCCTCTCTCCCATCTCTCTTCCCCATCCTTTTCCTCTCTCTCCTTCTCCCATCCACTGCTACTCCTCTCTTCCCTTTTCCCATCATTTTCATCTCTCTCCTGTTTCCCATCCCTTTCCTCTCTCTCCTCTCTCTCCTACCCCTCTCTCTCTCACCCTCCGATCCTTCTCCTTCTCCTCCTCCCCCTCTCGCCCTCCCATCGACTCATCCTTCAGCCTTACCTTATAATCCTTCAGACTGCTGACGGAGCACATAAGCGTGACTTCCTGACCCTCGACGACTGTCACATTGTGCGCCGGGTGAACGAATTCTGGAGGAGTCGATCCCACGCCGATAGTCCTCAGAGCTCCTCCTGGGGATGAGGGTGAAAGGTTGACTCATTTAGGACTTTTTTTTTATTATTCGTTTATTTTTATTGTTTAGTGTTTATTCGTTTATTTGTTTTTGTGATTTATGTATTGGTTCGTTTTTCCTGGGGGTGAGGATGGGAGGATTGCTGATTTGGGTATTGTTTTATCACGTTCGATAAGGAGGGTATGTTTTTGGTAGCTTGTTGATAGTTAGTATGCTAGTTGTTATTGTTGATAGTGTGTTAGTTGCTAATTGATGTATAGTTGCTAGTTGATGTATAGTTGCTAGTTAGTGTGTTAGTTCGTGTTTGTTGTTTTGCAGGATAACTTGGAAGGTTATGAACAGATCTTTATCAAAAAAAAAAACCATGTGTCTTAGCCTACCTTAGATGCTATTAAATCTTGGTGGTGAATCATAATCTGGATCCGGGATATTTTTTTATCTTTACATTATTGTTATTATTATCATTACCTTTAGTACAATTCAATTAATTCTTCAAGTCTGAATATTTTTTATTGCGTCAGTAACCCTATTGCCTTGGAGGAGGTATGCGCTCTCTTAGTGCTTCTAGTTTATGTATTCAGTCATCTGTTTATTTGTGTTTTTGTGTATTTCTTCACTTCTCCTGGGGATGAGGATTACTCAGGTATTCCTTTATTCATGTACTAATTGGTTGATTTATGTTTTATATATTGTTTTCATATATTAATACATCTATTTATTTATCATCTATGTATTTCATTCATATATTTATTGTTTTCATATATTAATACATCTATTTATTCATCATTTATGTATTTCATTCATTCATATATTTTTTTATCAGCTCATTTATGATTTATTTATTTCTTCATTCACATATCTGTTCACCTTCTTACTTATATTTTCTGCATTTCGTCATTTATTCCTTTAATCATCACTTTTATTTTGATATGTAGGAACCTTGCTAACTGGGAATACCACAGACAGAAAAGTATTAATAATATATTCGTTGTAAGTGCGGGATAATTGAACATTTCATTAGTAAATACTGTTTAGAAATATATCTGCTTGATGAAGCAATAACACTGACAAATATGGTAAAGGCAAAAATGATGATAAAGAAACTCATGATAATAGTGATCATAATGATAATGATAATTGTGATGATAATAATGATAACAATAATGAAAACAATTATGATGATGAGGATAATGATAATAATACTAATAATGGTATTAATGATAACAAGGACAACAATTATCAACAACAACAACAACAATAACAATAGTAATAATAATAATGATAATAATGATAATGATAATGAAAAATTATCATGATGATGGAACCAACAATAAAGATAATGGTAATAACAATAATAATAATACCAATAATCATAATGATAATAATAACAATAATGATCAGAATAAGGATCATGATAATGATAATGATAGAATAGTAATAGTAATATTAATAATGGTAATATTAATAACAATAATAATGGTAATAATAGTGATGATAATGATAATAATATTAATGACAGTAATGATGATTACAAATAAGAGGATGGTGAAATTATGAAATGATAACAATGATGATAATGAGAACAATGATAATGATAATAATAAAATTTAGATTTATAGTGATATTGATAATAATGATGGTAATAACGATGCTACTACTTCTACTACTACTACTACTACTACTAATGATGATGATAATAAGAGTAGTACTAATAAAAGGATAACGATATCGATGATTATGATAGTAATGGTAATGATAATAGTAATATCAATACTGATAACCACCATGATGATGATGATGATAATAATAATAATAATATAATAATAATATATAATATAATAATATAATAATAAATAATAATATAATATAATAATAATAATATAATAATAATAATGATAATAATGATAACAATGTAACTGATGATAAT